TTTAGCGATGCCTCGTAGCAATTCTCCTCCTAACTCCCCGTGGGAACGCAATCTCGCCAAAATACATTATAATTTATGAATTTTGTTTAGCGTGGCAAAAGCACGACGTCTGAATCACTGCCGTGTCAGAGTCGTGTAGCACGGCAGAGCTTGTCGAACTTAATTGCTTGCCGAACTTAATGCAAAAGTTTGATTCATACGCCGTGCTTCTGCCGTGCTTTTGTCGAACTTAAATCCTGAATTTAGTTCGGCACGGCAAAAGCACGACGTCTGAACTGGGCCTTATCTGTCATCGCCTTTTCCAAGCGAGCCTAAGACTGGAACGTTCAATCATTTGCTCTTTTTTAGCTGGGAAATATTCGGTCACGTGACTTGTTTAGACCAATCGCGCGCGAGCGAAAATACTTGATGGATTATAAAGCGTCATATGATGAACTTTTCGACCAATCAGAATGTCCAATTCTTAATTATATTCACGTTATACCCGGTAGACTATAAGTAAGAAACCGAACAGACTTGACTTGTAATAGTACCCCGTTGGTACCCCGCGATAGTATTTGTAGCGTTACGTGACTCCTTCGTGTTTCTTTGCAAGAGTTGTAAAACGATGCATGTCGAAAGCCGTGAATACGAAGTGCTGTGTAAAGCTGTGAAGCCGTAAATAAATACGTAGTGTTGCCAGAACAGGGTGAAAAATATTATTCGCACAACGGGCGCAACAAAATGAGCCGGTTCTTTGTTATTGGGCGGTAACTCGTGTTGACTCATCCAAGGAACGATTCTCAAAGGAATCAATACTATACCGTAAGTCGATTTTCTTCAAAAGCAACTTTACTATAGCACTCTAATTTTAGAAGAGAGCGGCATTTTCATTTTCACTGTTCTCTTGGCTAAGCGCAACAGCACTTCTTTTGGGTAACGGTACCGACGAGTTACTTGTGTTACTTTTACCCGAGTTTTGAAAGTCAGCTCTCGCGTTTTTGCCTTATATATTTTTGGGGGCGTTTTTAGTAAAACAAAAATACCACTCACGCTTTTTCGATACCAGATGATTCTCATATCCTAAGCACGCTAGTGGAATAAATGTGAAATCTACCTTTACTGGACGACAATACTTAACAAGATAGTGATTTTCGAGGGTTAATACAATATTTGTTTGATCAGTTTTAACTACAAAAAGTACACCAGATTAGTTTTGAAATTGTCTTTGTAGTATGCCACATTTGACTTGCAAGACTAGTTCAACGATAACGATGTTACGGAGTGATAGGAAAAAATACATTCTAACATCGCTCTGCTTACTGAGTTTAGTAGTCAAATAGCAAACAGCCAATCTTGGTTTCTTTTCTTCTTGATGTTCAAGGATGCAAGAAATCTGCAATGTCAAAATCTCTCCACTTCAACCAGCTGTCATGATAGGTCATATTATTTTTCTGATACATACAATTATCGTCAGAAAAGGTTGAAAAACACCATATAAACAATTATAGTAAACGTCACCTTACTTGGTCAGCTGAAAATAACTATAGTTTTTCAGGCCGTTATTGTTAGATAGTTACGTGTCTGTATGTACAGTAGATCCGTTGGTATACAGCTTACGTAGGAGAAACCACTCGACAGCCTCTCTGTTTTTCATCATTTCAATCTCGAAATTTTATTTCAGTAAATTTCCATGTTATAAGTTCGTTGTAATAACTATACTAAGGACCGTATATGTCTGATCAATAAACGACATGCCCCGTCCTACACAACTGATTTTCATACTCAGTTTACTAAGGGTGCGTTTCTTTAAGAAAACCCATGATTGGATCTTTAAATCCCAAAGAATCCGAAAACGGATTTTGCGTTTCTTTACTGAACAGATCAATCCAAGATCTCTGGGATCATGGTGCGTCAAAGGAACCGAAGAATCCACACTGAGAGTGGTGTTTTTTTTTTTCACGATGCCATTTACATGACGTAGCTCCTTTCAAATGTCTGTCTAGACTCTAGCTCGGTTGTTTATTAACTTGAAGACTAAGATAAATTAACCGCCGTACCTAATGAAGCTAGCGTATCGAGCATTAGACCTTCAGAACAAAGTCATTTCGCTCTGACAAAGAGCTCTTGCTCTAAACATCAGTTTCACTGACAAACTTTCTAGAGCAGTTAACTTACCTTTTACCAATTTCAAATAGATAAATAGCCATGTTCCTCTTGCACGCTTACGCAGCCTAACAGTTTCTTTAGAAACTATTCTAATACCTCTAGATTTTAAAGACGCAAGTGTTTGTGCCCATCCACACTGCGCACCCAATTACACGCCACATCGTACATCCAGCATATACTAGAGAAGTTTGAAAATTTGCCCACGCATTACCGGATTCTGCTCTTTGAGCTGTTCATTTGTACGACGGTTAAGTTTGAAAAGGACCGCAACATTTGGAATCATTATCGCAACCGGCAGACCCACTTATACAAAAAAGAGACAAGATAGTTTCTAGCAAGCCATGTTCAGTTGACATTGAACAACGGCGGAAGGGAGGGGGAAATCAGGAAAATTGATGTAATGCATGGTTACTTGCTAATGAAAGTCACTTGTGAATTTCTAGCTGTATCCTATCTATTCCTTGCTGATTGTATCATTAGTTGCTTGTGTTTTTCTCATTAATGTTTTACTGAGGATGTCATAGCAATAATCCTCAGGGTTCATTGGATCCCAGATGGCCGGAGAAGTTTCATCTGTTTGGAACCTAGCACCAAAAAGGAAAGAAAAAGTCAAGCTGATGTATTTTTCAAACCACCTAAAAATGAGAATACTAAAAACTAGTTTGTTGCTTTCCGAGTTTTTTGTCATAAACAATATTGGATTATATTTTTATCCCCTGCAGCACTCAAATTCTGCTTCAAACAAAAGTTAAAAAACTAATTATTTATCTGCCACTGTTTACAGCTAAAATTAAAACTTACAAACCAAGAAAATTAACATCAACTTACTTCATGATTTTGGTGAAGAAATTGATAGCTCTCTCATTATCTGAAAAAACACATTCAAATGCAAATACTGAGACAAAAACTAATAACACATGCTGGCATTGTATCCTTTTGTCCCATTTCTCTGAACAAGCAAACAGGAGTACAACTTTCCATGCTGTCAATTTCTTGGCTCACCACTCCATTTCCCAAAGATTGTGCATGATAAAATTTTACCCAACACATTAAGAAGAGAATAATACATGGCTGCGCATAGATATGGAATTTCTCTTTGAGTGTTCAACTCGATATCTCACTCATTCACTGCACTCACTAGAGAGATATAAAGTTGAACATGAGAGAGAAATTCCATATCTTCAAGCAACCGTGTATTATTTTGCTTATTGTATAAACATACTAATAAGGATGTTATGACAATTTTCCAAAGACTTCCAACCACTTTTGAAGATTTCAGAAAATTCTCCAATAGTTGTCTGAAGCCCACCTGAACATTTCTAAAAATAACCGAAGATTGCCAAAGACTTCAATGCAGGGCTTGACTTTCGGGAAAAAAACAGTACAGTTAAAGGGTCAAACATGATATCAAACATATCTTTACGTACGTCATCAATATCATCAAAGTAAAATAATTTGAGGTAATTTTACACATTCAATAAATTACAGCTTTTCTCAGGGCTGGAAATCCTTGTAAAACACTGCAGTTTATACAATGAAGGTCACCGTCATATTGTCACGGTCATATATATCATTCACACAGCTGCAATTGATCAAAATAGCTTGCCGGTCACAGGACAGTCACTGACGCAGATCTAAACCAAAAATATTACTTAGTACTTCATAAGTAGACTACAAGTAGTCCCTCTTTTGCTTGGTCTGTTGTGTGTGACACTGAAGAAAGCCACAAGAAAAAAATGGCCACACGAACTCTGTCTCGCACCCGGGATTTTCGCAGGGCCATTTTTTTCTCACGGTTTTCTTTCATGTCACGCACAACAGACTAAGCAAAAGAGGGACTACTTGTAGTGTACTTCATTAGAGAAGCTACTGTTAGTAATAACAACAACAACAAAAAACAATCTTCTGCAGGTTTTCCTATTCTTCTTCAATGTACCTTTCAACACAGTGAGCATGATCTTTTTCATCTCGGCTCTGAAATATAAGAGAACACCACAATTTTAAAACCAGCAACATAACTGAAATTCCAGCAAACTATATTTCGTTCTTATCGATATGGTAGCACAGACTTACTGGAGAATATTGCCCAAGGGCTTGAATGTACTTTAAGAAAATGATGACATTTTAAGATTTGCATGAATTAAAGACTGAAATCGTAAGCAAAACATGCTAATGTATGACAAATTTACTATGAGTTACACATTAACTTAAAAATTTTCCTGTTGATGTTAGGGTTTAACAAACCTGTGTGCCATCATCTCCAAAATCTGCATGAAGAACTTGCCAAGTCCTCTGGCTCGTGCTCCAGGTTCTACTTGAATTTCATAGCTGGCAAAAATAACAGAAAAAAATTAATGCAAAATTATAACTTGTTTGCTGAGTTACTGCCAATACAGTCTTCTACTGCAGGGCAAGCTAGACATAAAGAAACTTCATTGAATGAGTTGACACAAATGGAAATATCCAGGAATAAAATAACTTTACTTTATATTAAAAAAAAAAATAAACAGGGAGAGGAGGGTGACTAAGATGGGCTACAAGAGACCACAAATGAGCTTTGAAAGAACACTGAGCAAGAGATGACCTAGAAGAAACCTGACCCTGTTTCTTGAAGATGTGAACTGAACTAAGAGCTTTGGCAAAATCAAAACCATCAAATGCAGATGAATGAATTGCTCACTGACTAAAACCAATAAAAACTTTGTTTGCTGGTTAAAGTGTCAAGAAGTGAACTTAATTGATCAGCAATGGAAAAATGTCCAGACTTACCAGTAAAGTACTTCATCTCCCTCTTCCAAGTCAAACCTGAAATGTGAGAATGCAACTCCTTTTCCTGAATTGTCTTTAGCCATAAGATACCTGTGACAGATAGGAGAAAAACTCTTCAACTTCATTGACAAATATAGTACTTTGTGAAGAATGAGGGAAGGAACTTCTTTCAATAAAAGAAAGTACATTACTGACTATTATTTCAAACTAATGTGGAAATAATGGTCATTTACTGTTAATTATTTGATTCCTTGCAATAAAGACTTGGGTTGATTTGAAATCTGGAACTTCCTCAACCCAGCTTGATATGTAAAACCTTTCACTGCTAGTATTATTCCTTGCCACATAGATTTTGGTATATTACTTTGTGCAAAAAATACCAATTGCCTAGAATTTCTGATATATACATTGTAGTAATATAATTAATATAATTTTATCCACTGCATATCAGAAGTTTCCTCGTGATTTAAAGGACTCATTTTGATTATAACTACCAAGCTTTATCTTCTGTCATTTCATCTTTCTTCTTCTTGTCATTCCAGCCCCAAGAGCTTTTCTCATAACTGTTGATGGAAACAAGTAGTTTCAATAGATTTAAAGAGATAATGCAATAAGAACTGATTTAAACCTGTGATAAAATATGAAATGTTTGAATTTAAAAACTTGATGTAAGTTGTCCAAACACTATCATCCACTGTGCTGTTGGAAACTGGAATTTGAATGGTCTGACTATATTTTTCTCTCTCCTGTCTAATGCTAAAAGTTGAGCCAGAGATTGAAAACATACATTAACTTGAGTAAGCAACCTTTGTGGAGCAACAAACTACTTAACATGCTTTACTGGTTTTTAATAAATTGAGACTGACTTGAACTTACCATAATTTTACGTCTTCATTTCCTAATCCTATTTCTTTAATATCACAAATAAATAGTAATTATCCTAGCACTGACCATAATCTTTAGGCATAGGTAATCTTGAATGCTTGTGCAATATTAGGTATTTACACTTGTCTACAAGTCATATTTGAAAATTCTCTCAAAATCACAAAAGCCTTTAGGCAATTGCAGTTTGAAGGAATTTTCAAATATCATGAGTAGTGCAAATCATTAATCCTTTTAAAATTGCTGGTGCTTTCACTTGTTTACACAGTTATAAGATATAACTGAGAAAATTGTGATCTTGCCTGCATTAAATTCCACTGCAACACAAATTTATAATTTAGTGATAAATTGGCCTGCTCTCAACCAAGTAATTTTCTCAGTCATATAATTAAATTATGTTTATAGCCTTACAGCAATTGCATGTTGTGTTTTGTGAGATCAAAGGACCACTCAATATCCTCGGCACTCATGTCTGTTATTCGCTGACACTCCAGCTGAAGATCCAACCTGTCAACAAATAATAAGACATTTCTTTTCAAAAAATCGTCAGTTTAAGTATAGATTCATAAAGTCAAGGGTGCAAAGAGTGATATCAAGAAAATCATTTTAAAGTTAAATAATTGATGCAAAATGAAATGAATTCTAGCTTGACAAAACCAATGTCCTCCTGGCTTCAACATCAAAACTTGCTGAATGTTAACCACAGTTTTCATTTTTTTTTTCATAATCAACTCAGTGAAAACATCTTTTAATATGGGATAGAATAAGATAAAAAAAAATAATATGCATTACCAAATTAAGACTTACAAATATCCCAAACAACCTTCAAATAAAATGTTCTTGCCATGTTGAACATGCTAGAATACTGCACCATACTAAAAGTGAATTACAAATAGGCATCTCAATGTACTCTACTGTTTGACATGACTCTTACCCATTTCTTTTGAAGCTTTTAAATGCTGTCAAAGCTGCTAAAGGATCTTTCACCTAAAAAGAAGCAAGGAATATTAAGAAGTAAACAACTACAGCTAAACTAAACATTCTTGAAAGATGAACTGTAGTTAAACAGTACATTCATCAGTTGTGCTGTTCACCCATGGTTTCTGTTATACATCAACAACTTACAATGTAAGCTGTCTGGGTTTTCAGGGAAGCGGGACCTTGGAAAGTCTTGTCAGGGGGCACCACAACAAGGGTGGATNGACCAATCGCGCGCGAGCGAAAATACTTGATGGATTATAAAGCGTCATATGATGAACTTTTCGACCAATCAGAATGTCCAATTCTTAATTATATTCACGTTATACCCGGTAGACTATAAGTAAGAAACCGAACAGACTTGACTTGTAATAGTACCCCGTTGGTACCCCGCGATAGTATTTGTAGCGTTACGTGACTCCTTCGTGTTTCTTTGCAAGAGTTGTAAAACGATGCATGTCGAAAGCCGTGAATACGAAGTGCTGTGTAAAGCTGTGAAGCCGTAAATAAATACGTAGTGTTGCCAGAACAGGGTGAAAAATATTATTCGCACAACGGGCGCAACAAAATGAGCCGGTTCTTTGTTATTGGGCGGTAACTCGTGTTGACTCATCCAAGGAACGATTCTCAAAGGAATCAATACTATACCGTAAGTCGATTTTCTTCAAAAGCAACTTTACTATAGCACTCTAATTTTAGAAGAGAGCGGCATTTTCATTTTCACTGTTCTCTTGGCTAAGCGCAACAGCACTTCTTTTGGGTAACGGTACCGACGAGTTACTTGTGTTACTTTTACCCGAGTTTTGAAAGTCAGCTCTCGCGTTTTTGCCTTATATATTTTTGGGGGCGTTTTTAGTAAAACAAAAATACCACTCACGCTTTTTCGATACCAGATGATTCTCATATCCTAAGCACGCTAGTGGAATAAATGTGAAATCTACCTTTACTGGACGACAATACTTAACAAGATAGTGATTTTCGAGGGTTAATACAATATTTGTTTGATCAGTTTTAACTACAAAAAGTACACCAGATTAGTTTTGAAATTGTCTTTGTAGTATGCCACATTTGACTTGCAAGACTAGTTCAACGATAACGATGTTACGGAGTGATAGGAAAAAATACATTCTAACATCGCTCTGCTTACTGAGTTTAGTAGTCAAATAGCAAACAGCCAATCTTGGTTTCTTTTCTTCTTGATGTTCAAGGATGCAAGAAATCTGCAATGTCAAAATCTCTCCACTTCAACCAGCTGTCATGATAGGTCATATTATTTTTCTGATACATACAATTATCGTCAGAAAAGGTTGAAAAACACCATATAAACAATTATAGTAAACGTCACCTTACTTGGTCAGCTGAAAATAACTATAGTTTTTCAGGCCGTTATTGTTAGATAGTTACGTGTCTGTATGTACAGTAGATCCGTTGGTATACAGCTTACGTAGGAGAAACCACTCGACAGCCTCTCTGTTTTTCATCATTTCAATCTCGAAATTTTATTTCAGTAAATTTCCATGTTATAAGTTCGTTGTAATAACTATACTAAGGACCGTATATGTCTGATCAATAAACGACATGCCCCGTCCTACACAACTGATTTTCATACTCAGTTTACTAAGGGTGCGTTTCTTTAAGAAAACCCATGATTGGATCTTTAAATCCCAAAGAATCCGAAAACGGATTTTGCGTTTCTTTACTGAACAGATCAATCCAAGATCTCTGGGATCATGGTGCGTCAAAGGAACCGAAGAATCCACACTGAGAGTGGTGTTTTTTTTTTTCACGATGCCATTTACATGACGTAGCTCCTTTCAAATGTCTGTCTAGACTCTAGCTCGGTTGTTTATTAACTTGAAGACTAAGATAAATTAACCGCCGTACCTAATGAAGCTAGCGTATCGAGCATTAGACCTTCAGAACAAAGTCATTTCGCTCTGACAAAGAGCTCTTGCTCTAAACATCAGTTTCACTGACAAACTTTCTAGAGCAGTTAACTTACCTTTTACCAATTTCAAATAGATAAATAGCCATGTTCCTCTTGCACGCTTACGCAGCCTAACAGTTTCTTTAGAAACTATTCTAATACCTCTAGATTTTAAAGACGCAAGTGTTTGTGCCCATCCACACTGCGCACCCAATTACACGCCACATCGTACATCCAGCATATACTAGAGAAGTTTGAAAATTTGCCCACGCATTACCGGATTCTGCTCTTTGAGCTGTTCATTTGTACGACGGTTAAGTTTGAAAAGGACCGCAACATTTGGAATCATTATCGCAACCGGCAGACCCACTTATACAAAAAAGAGACAAGATAGTTTCTAGCAAGCCATGTTCAGTTGACATTGAACAACGGCGGAAGGGAGGGGGAAATCAGGAAAATTGATGTAATGCATGGTTACTTGCTAATGAAAGTCACTTGTGAATTTCTAGCTGTATCCTATCTATTCCTTGCTGATTGTATCATTAGTTGCTTGTGTTTTTCTCATTAATGTTTTACTGAGGATGTCATAGCAATAATCCTCAGGGTTCATTGGATCCCAGATGGCCGGAGAAGTTTCATCTGTTTGGAACCTAGCACCAAAAAGGAAAGAAAAAGTCAAGCTGATGTATTTTTCAAACCACCTAAAAATGAGAATACTAAAAACTAGTTTGTTGCTTTCCGAGTTTTTTGTCATAAACAATATTGGATTATATTTTTATCCCCTGCAGCACTCAAATTCTGCTTCAAACAAAAGTTAAAAAACTAATTATTTATCTGCCACTGTTTACAGCTAAAATTAAAACTTACAAACCAAGAAAATTAACATCAACTTACTTCATGATTTTGGTGAAGAAATTGATAGCTCTCTCATTATCTGAAAAAACACATTCAAATGCAAATACTGAGACAAAAACTAATAACACATGCTGGCATTGTATCCTTTTGTCCCATTTCTCTGAACAAGCAAACAGGAGTACAACTTTCCATGCTGTCAATTTCTTGGCTCACCACTCCATTTCCCAAAGATTGTGCATGATAAAATTTTACCCAACACATTAAGAAGAGAATAATACATGGCTGCGCATAGATATGGAATTTCTCTTTGAGTGTTCAACTCGATATCTCACTCATTCACTGCACTCACTAGAGAGATATAAAGTTGAACATGAGAGAGAAATTCCATATCTTCAAGCAACCGTGTATTATTTTGCTTATTGTATAAACATACTAATAAGGATGTTATGACAATTTTCCAAAGACTTCCAACCACTTTTGAAGATTTCAGAAAATTCTCCAATAGTTGTCTGAAGCCCACCTGAACATTTCTAAAAATAACCGAAGATTGCCAAAGACTTCAATGCAGGGCTTGACTTTCGGGAAAAAAACAGTACAGTTAAAGGGTCAAACATGATATCAAACATATCTTTACGTACGTCATCAATATCATCAAAGTAAAATAATTTGAGGTAATTTTACACATTCAATAAATTACAGCTTTTCTCAGGGCTGGAAATCCTTGTAAAACACTGCAGTTTATACAATGAAGGTCACCGTCATATTGTCACGGTCATATATATCATTCACACAGCTGCAATTGATCAAAATAGCTTGCCGGTCACAGGACAGTCACTGACGCAGATCTAAACCAAAAATATTACTTAGTACTTCATAAGTAGACTACAAGTAGTCCCTCTTTTGCTTGGTCTGTTGTGTGTGACACTGAAGAAAGCCACAAGAAAAAAATGGCCACAC